GAGTTCCAGTCTCAGAAGCCCACAGCAGCTCTACCCTGTGCCTGAGGGTCACTGTGAATCCGAATAGATTCGATGGCAATGAGTTTGGGTTTTTTTGACTAACCTCAAGTTTGTGGGCAACTTGCTTTTACAGGAACTAAGGATAGAGTCTTGCAATGAGAAGTCTTCTCTTGTTCTTCGTCACAAAGATGCTGAGAAAAAAAATCCCAAAGTTCATGTTTTCCTAGAGGGACTCATTGATCACAGAGGCAGCCCTCAGTTCTCAAGTGGGAGTGGGACTAGTCTTAATTTTGAGATTGCACTTCAGGTTTGTGAGCTAGGGGAATGAATCGGCTTCCCCCTACTTAACAGAACTGTTGTTTTGGAATGGAAGAAATTAATGGGATGGGAGGGGTTAACAGCCCTGGACAAGTTCTCTTAAATGCTATGTAAGGAAACTCCCACCGGGTCTTTTAAGTGGCTAATTGGCAAATCTTCCCCTGGGGTCTAGAACAACCCTCGTACAATCAGACAGCAGGGAGAACTCTTGACGGCTAAGAGGGTCTGTCCTCCTATCATTTTGCTGCTCGACTGCTCTATCTTCTCCTGACTCCAGCTCACCAGACTGCAGTGAACTTCCCAGTCTCAAACTCCTCCTCACATCACGTATGGCCACCCTTTCTGCAGAGGTCCCCCTTTCTGCTCCAGCTCCACGGTGTCCTAGGGCCAGCCCACCACCTCTGAGACCCTTCCCAGGTGGGGAACAAGGTGAGGGGCAACCATCAGCCATAGTCCCTACCTTCAGAAGCTCAACGTCCAGGGTGCACAGCAGGGCTTACAAGCCCATCCTTGAAGGGCGGTAGTGGAAGTGTGAGAGCGTTCTAAGGGTGTGGGGTCCAGTCAAATGGGCCCAAGGAGCAACAGGCGAAATTTATGAAGGCAAAAAAGACAAAAAAGAGGGTGCAGGGGACCCAACTCCATTCCCAGGAGAAGTGAGAAGACGAAGAGCCCAGATTTTTTCCACAGTGGGTTTTTGTAACTCTTGTTAATCACATACTTCAAACGCATGGGCCATGTACGAGTCTTGGTATTGCAAGCATTCAGAGGGAGTACTTCAAAGGGAGTAAGTATAAAGCATGGAAGAGACGAGGGGAGCAAGCATTCTTTAAGATACGCGCACTTTCTCTGTGTATGTGAAGAGGCAAGCAGCTGTAGAGAACAACCGTGTCCTAGCATTTATGGGGAGCTGGAGCGCTGTGGAGGCATGTCCTTCCTGGAATCTTAGTGTATAGAGGCGCTCCCTTACCGCTCCCCGCGGAGCGGTGCCTCACACTAGCGAAGCCCATGGCGATGGTGATGGTGTGCTGAGCCCTGTAGTTAGCGTGGTGGGAGCAGACCACATGCACTTTCTTCCAGGTACTCAGTTTCCCACATAAGAGGACTGGAGGAGGTGGCCCCTGTATTCTTGAGAAGAGTGAGTGGTCAGGAAGTCCTCACAGAGGTGGTGGCACTCACAATGTGCCCTAGTGGCCGTGAGCGACTTACTGGAGACCAGCATGGGGAAGACGATTCCTGGTGAGAAGGTGCAGAGGCTGGAGAAAGCTTCCACGTCGTTCAGAACAAGTGTTTTGAATAAGTGAATAGATGTGAGGGGATGGATGGCTAGGCAGGAAAGACAATAAAGGGTTTGACTTGTTCTATGTCTTCAGGGTGTGGGAGGGACACTAGAATTAATGCCTGGAAATTACCAGAAGACAGATGTTGACGCAATGTAATGAAAGCCTGCCTAAGGGTTAATGCAAATGTAGGACGCTCCCTTTTCCTGAAGAGTTCAGCCACTTGGCAGAGGTGTTCCAGATGTTGGGACGTGTTGGATTAGAGCTGTCCTTTTCATGCTTTGTAAAACAAGGGCTAATTTCTTTCTTCAAAGAATGTGGCAAAACTAGTTTGCCTGAACCAAGCGTGGGAAAGGGGCTTTGTATGCCCTGAAACTTTCGGTCCTCTACCCTCCTATTTGGAAGTCTGTGCTGGTAATCTGGAAGCCTCCTGCTTTCTGGCCTCAGTCCCGCTCTCTGCTGCTTCCTGCCCCACTCTGTCCCCTGAGAAGAGAGCTGGGAGCATGTAGGAATTTATATTCAATTTATATGTTCAATGTTTGAACATTTATATATTCAATGTTTGCTGAGCATCCGGAATGCATCAGACATCTAGGCGCTGGGAATCAAGCCTAGAACAAGACAGGTGTCAAACACTTTGCCCTGTGGGGGAAGCCGGGTCATTGTCAGGCGTTTCTAGCACATAGTGATAAGTAGTGGAGGGGGAAAGGGAGTTAGCTGGGGGAGCATCTAGCCCTGGAAAAGCTGGTGATAGGATTCAGGCCCCCCACTTCCCAGGCTGGTTCCCTTACGACTTTACCAAGCTGCTTTGAGAAAAGGATAGGTCTGGTGGCTGCTCCCCACACACGAGGGTAGAAGAGCTGCCACGAGGTAAATGCCCTCAGGTGTCAGGTCCCCAAAGCAGGTGTAGCAAGCACTGCTCAGGGTTCTGAACTCCATTACCCAAGTTCACAGCCTGGGCTGGTTCCTGGAAATAGCCTCACCCTCTCCTTGAATCCTTGCACTCACAGCCAAGCCCCCTGGGCCTGCCCAGGTCCACTGCAGGTAGGTTGGGACCTGGTTACAGCCAGGCAGTGAGGCAGAGCTGAAATCTGATTCTTCGTGGTCTCCATTCTGAGCAATGGTGAAGGAGCTGGGGAAATGTGCCCGGTGGAGAGAATGGGATCCAATGCCTTCTTCTCCGTTCATTCGTTTGACCAGCTCCATCCCTGTATGACTTTGAGCTGGTCCTCAATCCACTCCATTCGCAGCTTGTTCACTGTAAAATGGGGGACAAGATGCTTGCTAATCTTTGTCCAGATCCCCCAGTACTAATTCTGCCCGAGTCTCTTCTCCACTGGGTACGGTAGGGCAGAGAGCCATGATTTGGGTCCTGGTCTTTGCGAAGCCCACCTGGCCTGTTTGTAACCTGGACAAGCATTCTTTTTAAAAATCATTTTATTGGAGGCTCATAGGACTCTTATCACAATCCATCCATCCATCCATTGTGTCAAGCATATTTGTACATTTGTTGCCATCATCATTCTCAAAACTTTTTCTTTCTACTTGAGCCCTTGGTATCAGCTCCTCATGTTTTCCCCTCCCTCCCTGCCACCCTCCCTCAGGAACCCTTCATAATTTATAAATGATTATTATTTTGTCATGTCTCACAGTCTGACATCTCCCTTCACCCACTTTTCTGTTGTCCGTCCCCCAGGGAGAAGGTTATATGTAGATCCTTGTGATCAGCTCACCCTTTCCACCCCACCTTCCTTCCAACCTCCCAGTATTGCCACTCTCACCACTGGTCCTGAGGGGGTCATGTGTCCTGGATTCCCTGCGTTTCCAGTTCCTATCTGTACCAGTGTACATCCTCTGGTCTGGCTGGATTTGTAAGGTAGAATTGGGATCATGATAGTGGTGGTGGTGGTGTGTGACACTTTCAAGCCAGAAGACAGGGAGAAATGGCCTGGATGAGAGGCTGATGAGGCGGCCTGACAGGGAGAGCAGTAGCAGCCCCTGAGAACTGGGGGCTCAGGCTGACTGCAGGTCCTGGAGAGAGAGAGGCACCAGTCTTTCCTGGATTGAGCATCCAGCTACTGACTCAATCCTGGAAGGACATCAGGGACCCTCAGGTTGGTCAGTTTGTCCTCGAGAGGCTTAAAACTGCATTTTCAGGCCTAAAAATTAAGTTTGAATGCCAATGGCCTCCTCCGTGCTGCTGAGCTTGGATCAGAGTTCCTGTCTGTGGACTGGCAGGCGGCTGCTCTGTTCACCTCAACAAGCTTCCTGGCAAGAGTTCCTGGTATGCAAATGGTTAACCCGAAGATTGGCTATTCACACCCATCCACAGAAGTACATCGAGAGAAAAGCCTGGCGATAGAGAGAAAAGCTTGGGAGCCCAATTTAAATATTAAAAATGTGCACCGAGGGCTCATGGTGTTCCTAGGAACTGTCCAGTTTATCCCCCACGCAATCCTACAAGGTAGACACTGTTACGATCTCCCTGAACAGAGAAGCAGCGGCCGAGGTCCAGAGATTTGCCCGAGGACATCTCACTGAGTCCTGATAGCAACTTTCGTAGGGAGAACTCCTGTCTTCCTGGAGGAAGACTCAAGGAAGCTACATCTTATGAAGATTATTTTTTCCTCTTTTTTCCAGATGGACAAGCCTTGGATGCCTCCTTCAGAAGAAACAGCGTTGGAAAACCCTACGTAGTGCAGTTTGACACCATGGCACGAGGGAGTGCCGGGACTTGTAATCGACCATGAGAAGGGTTTAAAATGGAAAAACGAAAAGAAACGGCTGTGCCTGGGCTGAAGGTGCAGCTAAACTCCTTGACTCCAGCCTCTGTGCGCCCCTCCCTTCACACCAACACCCCCCCTCCCCCACCTGTAACCATGGTCTGGATAGTAAGTCAGTGTTGCCTCAGTGGCTCTCTGAGTACCGGGATGAGTGGGCCAGTCAACACACCCTTGTCCCTCCTGAGTGAGCCCCCCACCCCTTCCCATATGCCTTCCCAGACACAACACTGACGAGGTCCATTTCTGGAGACTTCAAGCAAGGGATGGCTGTACCGATCGCATCAGGTGAGAAGGGGACCGGGCTTGGGAGGGGAGGCGGAATGTGACCTCTGCCTTTGCCTTCAGCAGCTACAAGGGCCACTTTGGCAGGCTGGATCAGGGCGCTTCTGAAGTCAGAGGTGGGGAGTGGTGAGGGCATGAACCCAAGGGAATGCCCAGCTCCGAGGTTTCTCATTTTGATATGACCCAGGGGGGCTGTTGTCTTGTGGCTGAGATGCAGGCCCGTGTAATGCTCAGTGCCGCCCCCCCCCTCCCACCCCCGGGGCAGGCCAGAGCAGGGCTGGAGGGAAGAAGCACACTGACCACACACCACTGGCTGGGAAGCAGACTTTATTGTCCACCCTCAGGCCTTACACCCACAGCTCAGGCCAGGTGCACAACTCTGCAGGGCTGAAGCTGTTGCCCCATCATGCAGAGGCCTGGCTGGGTCCAGGGAAGAATAGCCTGGTCCCCTGACTAGTGGCTGTGGCCATGGCCGTGGCCACCCTCACCAAGGCCTGGCCCGTGGCTGTGGCCTTCACTTAGAGGAGCATTCTTGTGCATCTCCTCATGGGAAGCATGGGTCAAGCGCCCCATCAGGATGATGTATTCCTCAAAAGACAGCTCCTTGTCACTATTGGTGTCCAGATCCTCCATGATATCTTGGATGGCTTTTTTGTCTCTTTTCTCCTCCTGTGGGTAGGGCAGAGAGGGCATTCAGAGCAGGGAGTTGCCAGGGGGGCGGAACTGGATCATGCAGCCAAGGACAGATGGTAAGTGCACAAGGGAACCTGGCTCTCGGGGACTCAATTTAAATATTAAAAATGTGGACCAAGAGCCCCTGGTGTTCCTAGGAACTTTCCAGTTTATCCCCCATGCAATCCTACAAGGTAGACACTGTTACGATCTCCCTGAACAGAGAAGCAGCGGCCGAGGTCCAGAGATTTGCCCGAGGACATCTCACTGAGTCCTGATAGCAACTTTCGTAGGGAGAACTCCTGGAGGAAGACTCAAGGAAATTATATCTCTAACCCACACCCCCCCCCCTTTGTTTCTTCCAGATTGAGAAGACTGGGAAGCAGAATGGAATTAGAATTCCCCTCTGGTTTCCCAACCCAGTTTTGTCCCATGGCCGCCATGCTTCTCCTTCCCAAGGTGGTTCCCTGGGGAAACTCTCTTTTATTTGCAAAAGCAGAAAGCATTTCAGGAAACAAGGTGGTCGAGGATTTGGGGTTGGACACAGAGCAGGGTGAGATTCACAGAACAGCTCCTC